CAGGCCGTGGTAAGGTCGGGGCTGCGCGAGCCACCTTTGCGAAGGATGAAGAAGACGCCCTGATTGTCCACCCGCACAAGAACATGTTTGTGTCTGATCTTGCTGGAGTATGTTTGGAGTGCCCAAAGCACTCCTTCGATCTCCCTCCGTGTGCTGGACGTCGCTCGCAGCGGCTCTGGCATTGTTGCGCTGGCTTCTTCGAGGCCGCCAGGGAAGGTGGTCAAAGTGGCGCCCCAACTGTGAGCGCTAGCGTCCACATGGATTACAGCATCGTAGCTGTTTCGAACGTGAAACGGCGCACCGTTGAACCGATCAAACTCTTCGAGCCAGAAGTTTAGCTCCTCAGCCGCAGGTGGGGGGATGATCACGCTGCTTTTCCATGAAGGTGCGTCATTGATCACTTGTAGCATGGCGTGGCTGAAGGCACGAGCTGTTGCACCCAGCGCGACGCCCATTGACGCGAGCATGCCTGTGATTCTGGCCACTTGGCGAACTGAGACGGGTCAACATGCCTTGCTTGCGCTCAACAGGTTCCGAATGGTTGCATGAAGTGAGGCTCGTCGTTCGGGACCGATGGTAAATCGGCCGGTGACCGTGTCTAGCTCCACACCCAAGAATCGAAGGTGTTGCGATGGTGACAGCTGTGAGTTCTTCGCATTTATCACCAAACCCGCTGCTTTAAGGTCCAGTATCACACGGTGGCACGTGGCCTGCGCGTGGGCTTTTGACTGGCAAAGGAATAAGATGTCGTCCACGTATGGTACTACTCGAATGCCTTGCTCTCGCCAGCGACGGGCTAGCTGCTTGATGAGTTGCGTGAAGACGAATGGGGCTGTCGCAAGACCGAACGGCAATGAACGAAAGGAGTAAGTGCGCCCATCGAATCCGAAACCGAGAAACTTCCAGCACGAGGGATGGATGTCGATGTGATGGTACCCGGATTTGAGATCGATAGAAAACATCCAATCCCCCGCGCGTGCCACGTCTGCCACGCGGCTGAGTCCTTCGTACTTGAATTTTGGAACGATGAGGTTTGCGTTGACTTTTCTCAGGTCAAGGATGAGCCTACATTTTTCTCTCTGCTCGACCACGTTAAGTGGGCTTATGCACGTAAGCTCGCTTGCGGCTGTCTCGACTGCAGCCCCGGTCTCTGTGAGTTCTTGGATGGCAGTACGTGTGAACGTAGCATGCGCGTATGCACCGGCGTGGTTCCGCTCCCGGAAGGCCGGTGGTGGGCCGTGGCTCCATGGAAGCCAGTAACCGTTGGCGATTATGGATAGAACAAGGCTGCAAGGGCACCATGAGCTCCACCACGCAAAGGTCGAGCGAAGCCGACCGCACATCCGTGTGACGGTTTTGTCCGTGACGGCGAATTCGTACGGGTCTTCGTCGCGAGGCACCTCGTCATGTTGTGCTCCTGTATGTATGGCAAGGAAATGAACGGGACCAATCAAGTTACACGCCTTAATTAGTGAATGCGTGTGACATATACATGCATGCGCGAAAGATGAACCGTCAGCAGTGAGAACCATACGGACGGGTTGTCATCATTCCATATTTGGCGTCCGATCGCACCTTGGCAAACTCTTTCCCAGACTCCTTTTTTTTTTTTTTGCCTTGCTCTAAGATTGATGCTTGGGACCCATGATCATGCTTCACTCTTGATCTCTCTCTCTCTCTCTCTCTCTCTCTCTCTCTCTCTCTCTCTCTCTCTCTCTCTCTCTCTCTCTCTCTCTCTCTCTCTCTCTCTCTCTCTCTCTCCCTCTCTCTCTCTCTCTCTCTCTCTCTCCCTCTCTTTTTGTGCGTGTTTCCATCATTGTTTGAGCATTTGCATGCTTCGCTTGCCATGGGCTCGTGTCTTTCCACGCGTGCCCTCACTTGGCCGAGGCGACATTGCTATGCCCCTTCTGGTCTTTCTGAACTGAGAGAGCAAGTTCCTAAGGCCAACAACCCGAGGGGGAGTTTGTTGGTGCAACCTACGGTTTGCACTCGGCTTGTTGTCCGTGTGCGTGCATGCATGTGTGCATGGAGTGGTATGAGTGCATGAAATAAATATATATTTCATGCTTATATTGTGTGTGCATGATGGGTCATGCATTGAGTGTGTGTGTGTCGAGTCTATAGCGAGTTATCGCTAGCCGCGTATTACGCGGTTATTTTGTGTGTCCCGCGCGGTTTCTATTTTGTCGTGCGCGGTTTCTATTTTGTCGATTGTCGAACGTTCGGCGTGTCGCAGGTGTGTGCAGCAGGCCCATCAAGAACTCAAGGATGAGTTTTGTGATGAAGAACCCGAGCCTTGGTTCAAGCTTCAAGTGTTTTTTTTTTTTAAAGGTCTCGCCCTTTTTTTTTTTTTTTTTTTTTTTGCTCCTTCTCTCCCTTTCTGGTCTTTCAAAGATTGAACCAGGGCTGCCCATCCCTGCCATGCATGGTGGCGGTTAGAGTGAGGAACGTGCGTACTCCCGTTTTCTCCCTCCCCCTTCTCCTCCTCGCGTTCCCCCTTTTTTTTTTTTTTTTGTGATCCTTCACAACCAGAGGGGTGCCTTTAATGAAATCCATATCTCGCATGGTCATACATTGTCATGCCTACTAGCATGCTTCTCATCCCATCAATTGGGGCATACGGGGGACCGAGAGGCATTCTTCCTCTTCCCCAAAGCTAGGCCTATGGCCATACTTTATTACCCTATCCTAGGGGACCGAGAGGCATTCTTCCTCTTCCCCAAAGCTAGGCCTATGGCCAAATTTTGCCACCCTATCCTAGGGCTGGCCCATGGCCACCGCAAGCCCTACTAGGCTGCCCACGGTCTAAGCACTCAAGAGTGCACCGTGCATCGCGCCGAGTGGCGCACTTCGCCATAGCCCGAACCCTACACAACCGGTGCGGGTCCTTGGCCCCCGTGCCCATTCCGAGGGCAGGCATTGGCAACGTGGCCTGGCTGGCCGCAGCGGAAACACGAACCACGAAAGCCTTGGAAATTGCCCGAGGTTGGAGGGCCCCGTTTTGGGGCGAACGCCATGGGGCCGTGGGTTCCACCGCGGTGGGAGCGAGCGTGAGCGCCCGCCGCTCGGTCCATGGCAGCCACGTCCGCGACGGCTTGCTTGAACGGGCGTGAAGTGAGAAGGCTTTTCTGCAGGTACATTTTGTAGCGCTTGGCAACGCGGTCGTCGGAGGCGTCTTCGACTTGAAACATTTCGAAGCGCGCGGAAATGTCGTCGAGGGCGGCGACGACCATTTCGAGTCCGCCCGCCAAGTCGCCGTGCTGCAGCTTGTATTCTGCGTGTTTCAGGTAGGCCCGCATGTCCTCCAGAATTTCCGCTTTCGCCCGCACGTGCGCGTCGTTGAACGTCGCCGCCGACCAAGTGGTGTTAGTAGTAGAGGGGAGGGGGGGAAGATGCTCCATGGAATTAAAATTTTTGGTATGGACCGGAGCCTCACCATCATCGTCGTCGGAGCCGTCGGTGTCGTTGTCGGCCACTGGCGCAGGTGGGATGCTGGCCGGTGCTTCCTTGTCGTGCCGGTTCGCCGTTGTTCCTCGCGCTCCTTTTTCTCTTTTTGCGTTTTCCTTTTTAGCAGATGCAGAGGCCGCGGGTTGTGCAATTTCCGTAGCTGTAACGCTGGCGGGCTGTTGCTGTAACAGGGACAGAAGCGCGGCGACCTGGTCCGGAGTCAACGCGTTGGTCAACGCCGGGGTCGTCGCGTCAGAAGAAGTCGCTGTTCGGCGCCTCTGGCGCTGACGCGACGGTCCAGCCACAGGCGCCGGCGTGTGCTCCGCGTCAGGCGCGTGTGGCGCCACAGGTGCTGCAGGTGCCGCCGTCGCCACTTGCGCCACACGCGCCTCAGGCGCCACAGGCGCCACAGGGGCCGAGGGGTGCTGCTGCTGGGGCGGGCTCGAGTTTTTGTTGACCTCGAGCCCGCCCAACAGCACGTCCACGGCGGTTGGGGCGGGCGATCCTTCCTCTGCCCGGCGCTTGTTACGGCGATCGCCCGTCATTTCTCGGGCGTTACGGTCGGTGTCGGAACTCGGCGCAGACGAATTGCCGCGGTTAAGTGCCGGCGTAGACGCCATTGTAGAGCGGTTGTGGTTGAAAATGTCTTGCAGAAGTGTTGAGGGTGACTCGCCTCTGGGGAGGGTGCGAGTTCTAGCCAGCTTGGACGGGGAAAAGAACTACTCGAACGTAGATGTTGATTGAGCCGTTGGAAAACGAGAAACGTGGGTGGAGGGAATGAACTCCAACCCACGGTTTTTGTAGTTGGAGAAGGGCGTTTAGCGCGCTTCTACACTGCCAAATATTCGGTACGGGCAGCTTCGCTTTCACAATACACAATTTTGAAAAACATCAATGTGTTTAAAAATTATAATATTATCACTCATAATAACTACCGTAAACGCCCGGATATAAGACAGTGTTGAATAGTAGACAGGGGTTGTCTACTATACGGGTGTCTCTTATAAACAGGCTAGCCTCATTATAAGACACCTGTTTGTGTGTACGAGATAAGACATATATGTCTTATAATCGAAACTTCAATATATTATAGCGAAAGTTGAAATAACGCGTACATTTTTACCCTTGCGAAGCGCGAATTTCTCCACGCGCTGACCCAGGACCTACCAAATTTGCCTCTGCAGGTGTTCTCCATGACGTGGCGTCCCGGGCAGTGGTTGCCGAAGTGGCACCTTCGCAACATCCACACTCATTATGAGGAACTCTTTTTCAAGAAGTACGGTAGTTTAAAAAGTTTCCATTTATAAGATTTATAAGACACCCTAAAGCATCCCGTTTACAAGATAACTCAAGCATTTTTGCCCGTGTACGAGATAAGACATATATGTCTTATATCCGGGCGATGACGGTATGCGCGACGCGAGCGACTGCAGATTCTGGGGTGTCTGATGAAAATCAGTGGTGCAGTTCGGCCGAGTAAATGGAGCGCGCTATGATGGTTCTTGATACAGCACATTCGAAATCACTCTGATGTTTAAGCAGTTTTATACCAGCTATATATTTCCACAAGGGTCCGGGAAGAACCTGAGGTGGTGAAAGAGGTAGGTGCGTTGCGACTTGTCGGCAAAGTGGACGGCAATGCCATCCTCTGGCCCCTGGCACACCCACACATACTCCCGCCACACCTTGTTGCCCTTGCCCCCTGCGCTGCCCGCCATCACAAACTCCCCATCTTCACGGTACAGGTACTCTCCCTCCCCCGGCCGCAGAGTGAACATGGCAGTTCCTTCCATCCGGCCCGATGGGAGGCCCTCAAGCGCACTCCGAATTTCCCGCTCCAAACACCATTTTCCTGCCAACCCCTGGAACACCGCACCTCCCACTGCACTGCCGCCCTGCCACTCGCCACAAGCATGCCCCAACTGTGCCATGGCAATCTCAGCGGCAGCGACAGACGGTGCACTGGTCGTGGTGCAGTAGTGCGCGGGTATGACCATGTCGTGTGCCTTGATCCACTCAGCATCTGTGGGCAGCGCACACCCCAAAGCATCAGAAATGGAGTTGCACATGCCCACGTAGTCCCACACAGGGAACTGCGGCCGTGGCTGCTGCTCCCGCACATTCCTCGCCTCCTCAATGCCCTCTTGTAGCGCCCTGCTTGGAACGGGCGGGAGGGCGCCGGACAGCACGGCTGCGGCCCAGCGAGCCTGCAGCTCCATGGCGGCAAAGTAGGGACCGCGATACATGCCCACCATGGCGGCGTTTGGGAGCGACGGGTGGAAGGTGCAGCGGTGCAGCAGCAGCGGGGAGAAGAGGTCGGAGGGGTCGAAGCCAATCTGCTGCTTGAGGAGGGTGGGGAGGAAGGGCAGCGCGGGGCTGTAGCCGGTGCTGAAGATGATTGCATTCACACCGTCGATGGGCTCATCCGTGCCTTGGAGAACCACTGAGGCCTGCGGAGGTGTGGTGCTGTCCTGTGGGGAACGGGGCTGCAGCAGCACGCCCTCCACTCTGCCGTGCAGCACGCGGATGAGCCCCTGCAGCACCATCGGCCCATATTTGTCAGAGATGGCGACAAAAGCATGGTCGCTGTCGTTGCTGCTCACGGCCTGCTCAGGGCACAGCAGTCTACCCTGCAAGGGAAGAGAAGACATGGAAAGTGTTTAGTCGGAGGTATAAGAGGCATAGGTACAAGAGGCATGGGTACGTGAATGGATGGGAAAGTTGCGCGGATGGTGCTTCAAGCAGCCGCACATCTGGCCCTTTCAAAAAGTTCACTTCAAAACACCCATAGTCGGGTGGACTGCGGAATATGGTTTAAGGACAGAACATGGTGGTTCATTATGATTCCCAATTTTCAGGAAAACCTAACTGTGTACTGATACAGATGGATGAAAGCTTAACATGAAATAGCTCTGGTGGTTGATAATGTATAAGTTCTGTTTTTTTACGAGGAGCTCCCTAGGGAGAATGAATCCACCCAGACTGACCTCGATCTCATCCCTCTGTTGTTCTCAGATTCAGAACTTCGCTACCAAGCCTGTCTTCCTTCGATTGCGGGAGGCACAGCGGCACCACCCTTAGGCATTTCGGGAATGGGAGTACCCCGGAGGTTCGTCAGCGCTTCGAGCGCGATCGGGCAGGCGGAATCTATTGTTTCATGCCGTCAGGTATGTTGGAAAGAAGACATGCTAGCGTCTGTCGGGGGCAAGACAGGCGGATAGGGAGGGGAGAAGTAATTAGGCTTTGTGTGGGACAAGGCTGGGTGGGAAAGTAATTAGGCTTTGTGTGGGAGAGGAGTAGAACAAGGCTGGGTGTGTGAGGGAAAGGGAGAGAGGAGAAGAACAAGGCTGGGTGTGTGTGAGGAGGCACACTAACGCCGTGTTTAGTGGAAGTGTCATCCGTGCGCTATGTAAGAACTTAGAGCATGCTGTGCTGCCATGACTTGATTGACACACCTGAAGCTCATCAGAGCACACCTGAAGCTCATCAAAGCACACCTGAAGCTCATCAAAGCACACCTGAAGCTCATCAGAGCACACCTGAAGCTCATCAGAGCACACCTGAAGCTCATCAGAGCACACCTGAAGCTCATCAGAGCACACCTGAAGCTCATCAACACCCACCTCAAGTTCATGAAAACTCACCTGAAGTGAAGCTCGTCAGCAGGGATGGAGCCGAAGCGAGTAAGGGCTTCCCTCAGGCCACTCTCAGATTTGATTTGCCCTCTGCTACTGCCAGCTCTGTCACCTGCGAGAAGTCCAAACAGAAATGAGGCCGATAGACATAAAAAAATGATGATGTTAATAGGACAGAGCCATCCCTGCTGCCAGCAGGGTCACTTGTAACGTGAGTTGGAACACATGTGAGGAGTGAGACTGAACAACCCGTATACAATGGATACGGGTCACTTGTAACGTGAGTTGGAACACACGTGAGGAGTGAGACTGAACAACCCGCATAACTCACGTGAGGATTGAGACTGAACAACCCGCATACAATGGATACGGGTCACTTGTAACGTGAGTTGGAACACATGTGAGGAGTGAGACTGAACAACCCGTATACAATGGATACGGGTCACTTGTAACGTGAGTTGGAACACATGTGAGGAGTGAGGGTCACTTGTAATGAATCTGCTCTGTCATCTGAAGAGGTTTCCATCCCAACTCCTTTCCCTCTCCCTCTCCCCTCTTCCTTTCCCTCTCCCCTCTCCTTCTCCTTCTCCCCTCTCCCTCTCCCCTCACCTTCTCCTCTCTCCCTCGTCCTCACTCGGTAACATTAATCCCAGGACGTACCTCGATGCCTGCCTGCCTGCCTGCCTGCCTGCCTGCCGGCCTCAGCATACAACGCATCCCACCCCACTGCATCTACAGCTTCTCCTCCGCGGGCTGTAAGGGACGGGGAGGCAGGCAGCTGGGGAGATCACCCGAGCCGACCAGCGTTTCTCGTGGATGGGCGTGAGGGGAGTGAGGGCGAGGAAGAGAGATAGCAACATCGGGATGAACAGAGGGAAAGATGAACAGAGGGAAACATGGGGGTTGTGCAGCAGCGCGAGCACGTTTTTGTTGAATAATGGCGTCTGGAATGAAGAGAAAACAAGAGGAAGGGAATGAGGATGAGAAATAATGGATCTAGGGGATTGTGAATGCATGAGAGGGGAAGACGAAGGTAATCAGGAAGAAGCGAGGAAGAGAGCGAGGAAGCGAGTTGGCGGCGGGAAATACACAGGAAAGGAGAAAGTGGAACAGCTGAACACTTGGGGTGCAGCAGGTGAGGGGAAACACTTGATATCAGTCAATATATTTCTGGTACGCGAAACCGAAAGAAATAGTTACGCGGGAAGGAAAATAACGCAAAACGATGTACCTTGCAGGATGTGTATAAAGGACCTCCGGGAGCTCGCATTCGCATTCGCGCGATCCGCGATTCTCTTAAGGCACAGGAACCGACGCAGGCCGCCGCTGCTAATCCGAAGCAGAAGAATCCTGCGGAGAAGCAGAATCCTTCATCGGGGGACGCTGCTACTTCCGTTGGACCGAAGCCGAGGAGGAAGCGGGGTGGTAAAAAGAAGCAGAAGCAGAATTCCAGCACCGACACCGACAAGCAGGCGGGAGGCCAAGGCAAGGCGCCATCGGCCAAGGGACCAAAAAACGGCGGAGGCGGCCCCGACAAAGGGCCGCGCAAGAAGAACTAACCAGCCATGAGCTGGCTCTCCGTTGGTTGGGACGCATGACGCCTCGGCAGATTGAGTTACGCGTTCGCAACCGCGGAGTTCACAACCTTAGTGCCAAGATCTTGTCTCCGGATGAGAAAAAGGCACTGGGGTTGGGTTTAAAGTTCATCCCCACGCCCTCCGTTTCCCTTTCCACTGGAATTGAGCTCGATCAGCTCTTTCGGCAGATCTCGTTACACTTCTTCTTCAAGGATGCGGGTGGTCCGACGAGGGATTCGCGCTTTCGAGTTAGGAACCCGACTTGGCTACCTGATCGGATCGTTATTCCGGAGCAGGTCTTCACAGACTCGTCGTCAGACTTGTCGTTCCTGTTGAAGGCATCTAGGCCTGATCGTCACCGCAACATCTCGTTAGGTGTGCGTAAGGCTTTGCGCTCTATCGCTGCGGATCGATAAGTAGTTATCAAACCCGCTGACAAGAACGTAGGGATTACCGTTTTGGACAGAGATCATTACGTACGGTTGTGCATGGAACATCTTGGTGACAGCGCCACGTACACTCTTGTTCAGCAAGATCCCACCGTCGAAGTTTTGCGGAGGCTACGTGATCTGCAGAGCGTTTGGGGCCCTGCTTATCCCAAGACACTTTGGGATTTTTTCTTTGATGAGCCGAGCGGAGGATGGAGGCCCGCGGCTTTCTACGTTCTTCCGAAGCTGCACAAGAAGGAGCTTGTGGGGCGCCCGATCGCCGCTTCACATTCATGGGTGACTTCTAACGTTAGCCGTTGGTTGGACGCAGAACTACGGCCATGGGTCTTGCAGCAGCAGACATACCTTCGCGACTCCCTCTCGCTGCTTTTGAAGCTGGAAGAAACCGCCTTCCCGAAAGGGATCTTTCTAGCCACCTACGACGTTACTTCGCTTTACCCCAGCATTCCATTAAGGCGAGGCATCGACGCAGTTAGCAGCATTTTACAGAGTGGGAGACATCCGAATTACCTCCCGATTATCGCCCTGCTGGAGTGGGTGATGATGAACTCTTATGTGGAGTTCGACGGCCAGCTTTATCATCAACGGCAAGGCACGGCTATGGGAACTCCTGCAGCTGTTTGTTTTGCCGTGCTCTTCATGAGTCGTCTGGATGAGGTACTGAGGAGGAGGTGGACTGGGACAGAACCATTATGCCACGTTAGATACATTGGCGACGGCCTGATTGTGTGGCCTGGATCCCGGGGTGAGCTGGAGGCTTAACTGAACATGTTTAACCAGCTGGACCCCAACATCAAACTGACGTGGCATGTCTCAGATTCATCGGCTGACTTTCTTGACATGGTCATCTTCAAGGGACCTAGGTTTGCCGAGAAGGGTGTCTTGGATCTGAAAGTTTTTCAGAAACCTATGAATCGATACCTTTACCTCCCCTTTTCTTCTTTCCACCCGCGACACTGCAAGATTGGCTATATCAAGGCGGAACTGAAGCGGTATCTACTCCGCTCAACATCTGCCCAGTCATTCCTCGCCTCTAAGCATGCTTTTTTCCAACGGCTTAGATGTCGCGGCTACCCCAGAGACTTCCTTCTACCCCTCTTCCGTTCTGTTTTCTTTCGACACCGACGCCTCCTTTTGGAGGAAACCGCTGCGCGCCAAGCACTCAAACTTCACTCTCCCCCCACCCGCGGCCCCCTGGTCTTGAAGACCCTGTTCACTCCGTTGACAGCTCGTCTCAGGCTGGGGGCACTTTTGAGGCGCCTCAAAAATCGTCTCAGTTCACGTGGATTTTATGTGGAGAGAAATTTAACTGCTTGGAAGTGTTCTCGTAACCTACAAAGGTTTCTGGTGCGTGCGCGGTTACCGAACCGATCAAGTCGTTTGAAGACTTTTCGTGAAGGCTGACACGGCACATTGGGTTTATCCCCATGCTTAGTTGGCGATTGCTTATGAATTGCAATCTGGGTAGTTGGTGTACATTGAGTAGATCTCGAGGGCAGTAGCACGGTACTTAGCTAGCTTCTGTTTGTGACCTTCCTTTCTTGTTGAACCTGTAAGCAGCACTGATGAAGGCCTAAGGGGTTCTGTCCCGAAGGCCGAAACCGGTTTGCGAATAAGGGTTTTTCTGAGTTTGGTGGTTGTGAGATTTTCTTGAGTCTTTTGGGAATCAGTTTCACAGTCTTGATCCTTTTGCTTAAGAGTTTTCTACAGGTTTGCAGCTACTCCACGATGAACATTGACCTTGCAGGATGTGTATAAAGGACCTCCGGGAGCTCGCATTCGCATTCGCGCGATCCGCGATTCGATCCAGAACCCGCTGAAAGAGGCTAATGTTTCTAAAATCCACCCTCAAGGCGGCGGCAGAGCGGACGAGCGCACGCGGGAGGCGCAAAAGCCGCCGCTTCCGCCGATTCTTCCGCCTTGCAATGAAGCCGTGATCGTTGCTTCGATGGTACACTTCCAACGATCGTGACTGCTAAAGCAAACCCATTCGCGACCCATTTCGAGAGAACAGCAACTGCACCGTCACGCGAGCACCGGAAAATGGCTGCTGACTTGCGTCAGCGCGATTCGGAGGTGACGGGAACGAGCAGGCAAGGAAAGCTAGGCGCTGTGTCTCGCATGTAGGCAGGCACGAGAGATGCCAGATTTGAGAGGGGTTGACTGATGAAAACGAAGTGGTGCAGTTCGGCTAAGTGAGAGCAACGCGCAAAAACAGTTCTTGCTAGTTATATCAGCGTGTAAAATATTAACACCAACACAGCTCAAACTCACACTTCACACAAAAGCAACCGTGCAGCATCTATAAAATAAGGGGAACATAGAACATGGTGTTTCGTTTTGCTGATTTTGTTTTCACAGCATATTTTCAGCTCTTCCGATTTTCAAGAAATTTCATTGGTACACAAATATGCATGAAATGGTACTGATGGTTGAGAATGCAGAAAATTTATGACGAGGAGCTCCCTAGGGAGTACGAGACGAATCCACCCAGACTGACCTCGATCTCATCCCCCTGCCGTTCACAGATTCAGAACTTCGCTACCTAGCCTGTCTTCCATCGATTGCGGGAGGCACAGCGGCACCACCCTTAGGCATTTTCGGGAATGGGAGTACCCCAGAGGTTCGTCAGCGCTTCGAGTGCGGTCGGGCAGGCGAAACTTATTATTTCAAACCGTCGACTTTGTAGGAAAGAAGCTCCGCCAGCGCGCAGCGGAAAACGTTTTGGCGGGGGGAGGACACGATAGAATCGGGGTTAGCAAAAATCAGATCCTGGCGCGTCGCTCCCTTGCGAAGACCCTCGGTAAGAATCGGTTCACCAGCAGATTCTGTCCCCATTTCGCGGTTTCAGTAGGTTTCGCGTCAGGCAGCAGGCCAGGCCCAGCACACGGTTCCGATTTTTCGGAGGTGCTCGGGCAGTATCTGCTTAAAGTTTCTCCTGTGAGTGTCCCCTCCACACAACCTCTATCCCTCCTCCTCCTGGTGCTCGTCTGATCTACAATTCCAACGCACTGAAGTCTCATTTTCATAGCTAAGAATCCAGTTTCTTCTTGTTCTCTTGATTGAGCCATTGTCTAGCAAGTTCAGACCTCTCATGAAGTTAATTCGTTCTTAATATCGTTCTCGCGGAACCTCTTCGCTCTCAGCGTTTAGCTTTACTTTTACTCCCACTCACGCTCGGTTAGCTCGATGGATTGTTCTTCTAACTTTCCGTCCATTGCTGAGCGTTTGGCCCTGTGGGAGAAGCGCGGTTTTCTGATCCAGATGAAGCGTTATGCTCGGTCGTCTTCTGAGGGTCCCACGTTCGCCGAGGCTATGGCCTTGTGGGAAAAAAGGCAGCGTTGCTGCAGGCGCAGCGTCATGCTATGCTGCAGGCGGAGCGTCATGCTGTGCTACAGGCGCAACATGATGCTTGGATGGCCTCCTCAGCTCGCTCTCCGGCTGCTGAGGAGGAGGACGCGCGGTTCGTTTCTTCTGAGGACCATTTCGCTCCACAAGCGGAAGCAGAGGAGATTGCAGATGAAATATTTTCACTGTTTATGGCTGCAGAGGGCGATGGCTTGGAGGATGGGTCGGATCTGAGCAGCATGTGCAGCAATGTCGCTGAGATGGTCGGTTCTGAAAGCTCCAGGACGAGCAGCACCTTCAGTGACAGCAGCAGCAGCGGCCAGAGCTCCCAAGAGGAGGCGACCGTTAACAGTGCTGTCAACAGCCTTGGTTACAGGTTTAACTGCTACGACCGCGTCAATGGCTGGAACGAATCGTTGGTGCTGAATCTGCTTCTGCTACTGAGTTCCTCTGCAGTGAGTGCGAACGTTGTCTCTGCTTCAGATCTCGCATCAAGGATTGGAGTGTTTGCGTCACTTTTCAGGATTCTCTTAAGTGACGCAAGCACAGCCAAGTGCTTGGTCTCGAGAACGCATGCAGCCAGTTGCAGGCTGCTACCGTCTCGAATTCCCAAACCTGGCAACACACAAGCAGCAGCAGCAGCAGCAGCAGAAGCAGCAGCAGCAGCAGCAGCAGCGGCAGGAGCAGCAGCAGCAGCAGCACCAGCACCAGCAGCAGCAGCTTCAGTGGGGAAAGCAACTTTGACTGATTCTGTTGAAGGATTCAAGGGTATTGAGGATGGGTCGGCAGCAGCAGAAAGCACGATGGAGCAGGACCGGGTTGAAGGTGTGAGATGTGGGGAAAAAAGAGAAAAGGGTTCAGCAGCAGAAGGGAGCGAGAAAGGTTTAACTACAGTG